GTTACTAAGGCTGCCAAAAATGGGATAATTATTTTACACTCAACAAATTAACAGTCGAGGAGAGGCTCTGGATGTCACGTAACTAATGCAATTTACAGTAAAGGAAGAGAACACTGAACAAAGGAAATAGAGGTGAGGGAGACAAGAAGTGAAACTCGTCTTATAGTTAAATCTTAAAACATGAGACAACTTTGTGAGAGACGACTGAAGAGAACTGGGATGCAGCCTAGACATTTGGGGTAAATATACCATAACATGATTGTATCGGGTGAGTACAAGATAGATAACTTCACTACCATATGGTTGAATGAACAGCGAGATATATACACAGGGTGATGTTGGAATAAAGTTTTCATATTCTTGCACCTGAATGAGATATATCCCCGTAACATAGCAGCTAAATCCCTCTGTTGGAGATGAAATACAGTGGGATTTCAGTGCTAGGATTTATGTGGTATTTCTTCATTCCAAATTACCATGTTTAATCAGGTAATAATATAATAACAACCTAACTACTTCAACATTTTCTTTTCACGATATTGTTACGATCTCCATAGCTGAGAGTAACAGTAGTTTGACGCGACACAATATTTACATTATTTCTCGTTATGTTTTTTTATGTTCCAGACGTCAGTGGCAGTCAGACAGTCAGCTCACACAGCAAGAGTGAAGTGGAGCGTCAAGGTAAAATATATTTTCTTCTGTTATTGATTTTTATTAACATGGAAACTATATGCTTTTGTTAAGGATTTTAAATAAATTTACGATACTTTTATATACACGAGAATATATTTTATAAAACGTACTTGATCTGTTTGTTGTATAATTAACAAAGGACAACACCCAACTGGTATTCAATTATAATATAGATGTGTAGACTAAATACAATATAAAGTTTATACAATAAGCAACTTTACAAATAATTAAACCACAATTATATCTACGTCAAAGGTAAATTAACTAAAACCCAATAATATAATATCAAATATAATTGAGGAGAGACGTTGTGGAGTCAACACTGTGGATCACAGAGTCCAGTAAACACGACGCCGCACATCTCTAAATTCCTTGCAAAAGCGTCAGTCGGAGTCGTGGTCGTAAAGCAGATGCCCCATGGAGTATCTAGCACTATCTTCCTCGTCATAAACAAGAATATGTATCATAGTATTTTGCATCTGAATAACAAAAACGAACACCAACTCTCGCGCGAATCCGAATCCACGTCCCTCGTTCGTCTTTCTCTTTGTTCGCTCAACAAAAGGGATCCAGAGCGCCTTTTAATGGAATCCTGGACCTTATCGTCTCACCTCTCATTTCATCTATGAATGGCTCCACTGCCAGAGACTTTGAAGACTCATAAAACGCGCATTAAGGCGTAATTGTTGGCGGCGATGACTGGGGTATTGTATTGGCGTTTGGTTTATGGTGTCTCTGATGAAGCCGCCAGATTAGTGTGTGTGTGTGTGTGTGTGCATTGCTAGCATAGGCGGATGAAAATGAATTTATGTAAAAAGTGCACCATTATCATCAAATACTACCATCACTTAATTGTATCGTAACTACCACCATCCCCACTACCACCATTCCCACTACCACCATTCCCACTACCACAATCACCACCTACCTTTGTGCCACACTCTCAGTACACAAAACTCGGCCACAATAATCTGGCCATTTCAATCTCGGCCGGACAATACGTCAGTACAATCCTCAATTGATATTAGACCCGTCCAAACAATGTGGGGGGGTGGGGGGGGTGGGGTGGGGGAGAAACAGGTTGGTGGGAGGTAGAGGAAGGGAGAGGTAATGGAGATAGGAAATGAAGAGAGGGAGGGAGGGAGGAAGGGAGGAAGGAGGGAGGGGGAGGGAGGGAGGGAGGGAGGGAGGGGAGGAGTAGGAGGGGGGGATGGGAAGAGGTGGAGTGCAGAGATGGGGGGGGAAGGGAAAGGAAGGGAGAGATGGAGAGAAATGGGGTGGAAAAGGAATTGGATAATTGATGAGGAGAATGGTATACAGAGAGGAGGAGAGCACAGGGTGGGGAGAAGAGAGGTATTAGAGGGGGTGGTGTAGTCCTCTGGTGGCGAGGAAAAAAATTAACCATCATAAGACAGTCGAAAAAAAAAGGTATATTTCCCGTTTTTATTTTCGGTTCCAAAGAGCAAAAAAGTTTATTGTCCATCAACGCGGAAGTTTATACTAGACTTTTTATCCCAAGTGAAATTGTTTAAGAAAAAATGTTCTGGTGGAAATTTATTCTAAACACTTTGAAAACTGTTAATATTTTGATTTCGAATTTTTTTGGCTGAGATATGCGGTGAGCTTAAGTTTATTCAGGATATCTATATTTGTGGAGGGAGAGAGAGAGAGAGAGAGAGAGAGAGAGAGACACACACATACAGGTATATAGATAGCGAGACATATAAACAAACAAGCGATTTCGCATTGGAATATCTACAAGAGGCTGTCAAAAAGTTATCCGATTCAGGGGTAAAACAACACAACAGGGACCTAATTTTTGGTAACGTGAATATGACTGTTTGTATATAATTGTCTTAGTTAATTTGACTTCTATAATACAATCAATTATATATGAGTGCGTGTTCAAAGTATGATGTATGATAAAACTACAAACGGAATGTAGTAAACCTGTTTTGATCAGGTTCCACAGCAAAGAAATTGATCTAAACATGATGTGGTAGAGTTGTTCCCTCGTAAGCCTCTGGGCGTAAGAGCATTGGGGAATTGACCTAACAAGACGGTGTTCAGATGCCACCAACGAGGTACTGGGGCTCGGAGTATCAAAGACGACTGAGGAACTGCCTAAGTGAGTGACCTAAAGAGTTATAAAGGTCAAGTAGAACAAGTGTATTGAAGACTATTGCTTTTATTCCTACTTTTTGACCGCTTCCCTTCTACATTTTGATCCAACGCGTTATTTTAATTTTTTTTTATATTGGGATTTTTGGTTATATATCTGACGGTGGATGGAGAGAGAGGGGGGGGGGAGGGGGAGCTGCCAGTGAATAATTTGATTCTGCTGATGGCTCTGTAAATTTTGGACGACGACTCTGTTAGTTTGGACAGTTGGTATGACGGTGTGGTCCTATTTTTGCAATGTTTTCTTCTCTCTTTCTCTCTTTAAAAATCCGTTGTTTCTATGTCTTTATGTCTATGCTTATAATATTTATGTATAGTGTATATTTTTATGTATACAAATATACGTAAAATATACGGTACTTAATAGATATATACATAGGAGATCAAGAGTTTTAGTTTCTCCTCAAAAATTATCCGCAACCTATTGAGTACAATGTCAACCCCTGAGTACAATAACTTACCCCAGTGAATAAAATATAGTACTTATTGAGCCTGGCATCGTACTCAAGGGGTTAATGGCCCGAGCATCAGTCAGGGACATAATGGTTAAGTAAGGGGTAGTAATGACCGCCATTATTACCTGCAATTCGCGTAACAATGGCAGAGGAAAATAACAGGTGTGGTAGACAGGTGTGTCACGGTGACCTGTCTGCCTTAGTTGTACCTGTCACAGTGGTCAATGTGTCCGTCGCTTTGATAATGTCGTGGTGAAAATCTAATCATCTTGTTCGATATTACGTCTACACCTACGTCCATCTTTACCCCACACTCACACGCCCACACTCACACCCCCTACCCACGCACGCACCCACACCCACACATTAAATACTATATACTGTCAAGAGTGCAGTAGGGGTCCCAGCAGCGGTCGTCAGTAATTATAAAGGTAATTGACTATCACCAATTGGCCAGACCGACAGTGAATCTCCAGGGACACGTGTTGTAATGTCCCAGCAGCTGCCGTCACAACACTTCCTGTCACTTTACGCAATATTTGTCGCCATCTTACAGTCGTCCATTAATTAGATGTGTCTTACTTCTACAGACGGAAGGAAAATTTAACGTAAGATCCTTCGAGAATCTTGGCTCAGGTTCAAGATTAATTCACACGGTATAGTTTTACTCCGATCAGTGGCGTAAATGGTTTAGTTACGCCGAGATGTTGTGCGTAAACTTATCCACCGAGTTTAAAGGTCACCGAGATGTTAAATATTGCCACCTGAGAACAGACATAGAGCAAGTTCTCGTGTTTGTACAAAGTCGTGGACAGCCGCATGGAACCTAAACGCTCGCGTTAGGATGGCGAAATAATCTGGGGTGCCTAATGTTCACGTGACCAAAATAACCTCCATTAATCTGAACTTTACGAAAAAATAAATAAAAATAACTTATATACTTTTTGAATATTTAAAATTACTTTACAATATACTGATCACAAAATACGTCACAGTAACGAGGCATCAAAATCTTACCTTACATCACAGTAGCCAGGGAGGAGACACAACATTATCACACACAGGTCAAAGTGGTACTGACATGATGATCTTTACTCTACCAATTGTTATATACCCCTTGTCCCGCCCCTCCGCCAGTCTCTCAGCCAATCAGGGATCTGGAGAAGCGCAAACTACCGAACATTGCTAGCTGGTACTTCACTAGTTTACGTGATCCAGTTAAGTCAGCGTTAACCTTCACCCCCCTCGGTGAAATTATACCAGTACTCTTGCCAAGTTACTTACTGTCCACTTATCACTTACCACTTAATACTTCAGCATGAGTGTCGGAAACCTGTACTCAACCTGGGCGCTGTCGTGATGGCTGCCATGTTCCCCCTCAAGTGCCAGCGTCGGTGCCGTGATAATCTTGCTCTGGTGGCTGAGTTTTTTTATACCACTTGATCTCTTTATTTTTATTCCGTGTTTTCAACTGTTTATCATTTTCCTGAATTAAAGTTTACCTGTGTATGAATGATCTGTTTAGTGGCAGTATTTAATTGTATCATTATTACTAATTTTTCAGGATCTTATGGAAATTTATAATACAAAAACAGAGAAAACAGAGAAAACGTTGATATAAATTCATGGGTAACTCAAATAATTTGTGGATTGAAATAAAACGCCTAATATTCTGAAACTTTATTACAGTATGTACAAGATGGCAGCATAGACTTTTGAAATAGTAATATGCGAGAATATTTCATTACACATATGTACACAATATAATGATCTGTATAATACCTCTTCATATGTCTGCTATAACAATGAATCACTTTAATCTAGAAATAGAACAAACTTCAATTGTGGACTAAACATTATGAATTATTTTTTTTTCTGGTTTTGTTCACAAATAATCAGGACACATACTGTACCATACAAACAAACACCTCAGTTACACATCTCTGTACATTTAAAAACATGGTAGAAATATCAAGCAAGTGTGTGTGTGCAATATGTACATTGTGATTCGTTTCCAAAGCAACACTCTACCTATTTAAAAATACTGTTTAGTATGTACAAGGAGTTTGGCAGTAGTTGTTTTACATGTATATCACCTCATTGTCAACCATCCTATGACTAACTCTAAAACAAATTGGATATTTTGCTTTTTTTTTAAGGAGTCACACCAAAGATTCAAAGGTGTCACGGTGCTATTTTTGAACCTTTGAACTTTATGAGTTTATATAGACGTATGTAGTGTGTCTATAGGTATAAAAAATCTGTCTCATTGATCCTATGAAATCTGAACTTGAACAGGTATATAACTACAGGTATTGGGGAGATAAACGAGGTATATATCTCCCCAACACACCTGTAATCTTGTATTTAGTTCAGGGGAGCAAATGAGCCATGATACCTATTTTTCGCCCCACTATAAACACTGTCTTTACACACCTACACAAACGTGCCAGAAACAGTGCCGGACCAACATACGAACCCTAGATATGATTCCTTAATGAATTTCTAAAGAATTGTACGAGATTTCGAACCAAAACCTGAAGATAATCATCAATTTTTACTATACACATAACACCTTTCTTTAACAGGATTCACTTTCGTATTATTTACTGAATACGTGACTCATTCTCTACTGCTAACAGACAAAAGTAACATGTTTTTTTTTTCACTAGAGCTAAATATCAATCCAGAAAATCAATACTGTATACGTAGAAACATTTCACCTGTTAATTTGATCAACACAGACAGCAGCTAAGTCGAAAATGTTAACTAGAAGCACATATTGCTATGAATTTAGGATTTATTTTTTTCCCACTAAAACGTGTTCTGAGAGACATTTTGCAAAGAAAATAGTTGAAGAAGCGGTGGTGCCAGATGTGGATATAACCATATATATATATATACATAAAGTCTGAGAAAGCTGTGTGCCATAAAGTGTATAAATCCAGGTTATATACAAGAGTTGTACGTGGAGATAATGTCATGCATGAGCCCCGAGGTGGGTCAAGGTGGGGGAACACAGTGTGACGGGCGACCTTAGTCCTTAAGTCTTACGGCATTACCGACCATTTCACCGTGCGATGACTGGGAGTTGATTAGCTGCCACGGGAACACTTGTGAGGAACGTAACCAAAAGATTGGATTCGGTGTCCAAATTCGGTTTGTTTTCCCCTATTCAGCCGAGAAAGAGAGAAAGAGAGATAGAGAGAAAGAGAGAAAGAGAGAGAACTTGAACAGAACGATTGACTGGAAGAGCACATCAAGATTCTAAAATACTGAGATTATCTAATGAGCACGACGTGGGTGACTGGTGGGTGTGTTGAGGGCGGCCAGTGGGTGGGTGTTGAGTGCTGCGAGGGTGTAGAGGTAAGATCTGTTGGTGGGTAGTGGTCGAGTGTCGCGTGAGGTGGGTGTAGCGGGTCTAGTGTCGGGTTCGTTGTAGGAATACACTGGTCGGGTGTCGAGTGACCGAGGCCTGGGAGGACCGGGGTTGTCAGGTGGACTGGCCGCCGCCGGTTGGGAGGTAGAAACATGTTGGGTGTTTGGTGGGTTAATGGTGCTGGTAGATGGTCTGGTGAATGTGACTAGGGTGCTACTGATGGTGACTACCGGGTGTGGTCCTCATAAAGTAGTGACGTAGTCCACCTCACTGTAGTCCAGGCTGTAGGCTGACGTCACGCCACCGTCCCTCTCCGCCGCGTCCTTGTCCGAAGAGAAGAGGGACTCAGAGGCGGTGGGTAGAGTGGGGATGGGCTGGTGCTGGTGAGTCTTCTTGTCCGCGGCACGTAGTCTGGCTGCCCCGTACACCGTCACGGCCACCAGCAGAATGACACTCAGGGCAGATCCTACCCCGATGTATGCCCAGGGCACCGAGAGGAAGAAACAATGGGCGATGAGTTCATCGTACCCTGAGGGGCAGTGATGGACACCGTCACACCAGAGGTCCTCACTGATGCACACACCCAACTCGGGGCATTCCTCCTGGCATCCACGCACGATGCCCTCTGAGGACCAGTCATACTGGCGCGCCGGCGACACCTGGAGCCAGGAGAGGGTGTGAGGGCCCAGGTCACGTCCATTGTCCCGTCCTGACAGCTCAAGGATCAACTTATCCGTCGACTGCTCGACGAGTGTCCCTGATCCCTGCCAGGCGAAACTGAACAACTCAACGACATTTTTGCTGGATGGGTCAGGACAAAGAACACCAACTGGTCTCAAACGACCCACCTTGAACACCAGGAGTCGTGTGGAGGTGGTACAGTTCTTGTCAATGTGGTCATAACCTCGTATTCTAAAATATATAGACTTGTCGGAGTCGGAGGTCTGGAGGAGCCAAGGGTAGTTGTCACAAGGTTTATGTTCTGTAATGTTAGCTTTCCGGAATATGATCTCGCCGTTGGTACCCTGCAGTCTCTGCTCCTTCTTACATGAAGACTTCTTCACAAACTCATATCGAGCTTCAAACATAAAGTCGAGATAATCGTGAGTTTCGTCCATGTTGTTGACTTCAAATTTGAGCCTCAACTCTTGGGACTTGGACTCGTAATCGATGGGGATGCCGGAGAAATCACAGGTACACAGCCTCGGCACCTCAATGTCCTGCCAGGGGTACTCAGACACGACGAGGGAGGCAGTCTGGCCTCCTCGGTTGTCACAGTCAAAGCTGCCGGTGAAATTGTTGGTGGTGGTGACGCAGGAGCGTGACACACTGTGGAACTTTGTGATAGTCACGTGCACCACCTCGTCACTGTGGGCAGTCAGGCGATACTGGCAAGACAGTCTGCGGCGTCCCCACCTCCCGTACAGCACCGAAGTTCTCGGGGAGAAGACCCGACCTGTCCGGAGTGTGTACCCGTCGCTAATAGCTTCAAAGTCACACTCGCTGCCATTAGTAGGGCGGTACCCGGGCCGCGTGTTGACGAACTCGTAGCGTAAGATGAAGTCCATGGCTAAGGCAGCAGTGGACTCGTTGTAATGCTGCACTACCGTCAACTTAGGTCCGTCAGCGACGTAGCTTTCGTTCCTAGTACAGGCCTTGACCGGGGCAGCCAGACCGCGGCGGGGCGGGAGGTACTCGCGGGCACACATGGGCGGGGGGCGAGCCGTGCAGTGCTCGTGGATGAGCTTGGCCCGTCTAGGAGAGCCATATGGGGTGCTCGTGTCGAAGAAATTGCCGTCATAGATCCTGAGCGGGTTGATACACTCGGTCATGTTAAAAGTATAGTGTCCCATTTTGGGGGCGATTTCGTACTTGCGGAAGTGTATCCAGACAACCTCATGAGGCTCCCCGTGGAAGAGATATACACAGGAGGAATTCTGTGGCTGTGTGTTGACCACAGACACCACCTCCCCGCTGGCGTTGTTGGAACCGAAGATGTGAAACACACACTGACGATTCCGAGCGAACTGGCGAGAGTCCATGTTGAGGTAAGTCACCTTCACGTCCAGCTCGAAGCCGAAGGTCCTGGGCATGAGTGTCTCCTGGGAAGGCTCGTCGAAGCGCGAGGTGCTGAAGACGACCAGCAACTCCGGTCCCGTGGAAGTGATGGGTGGCAGTATACCTGAACCGCACACCTTCAGGAAGAGAGGCGCCTCCGTGGAGTTGCCGTCGTACACTAGAAGGTGATCATGTACCAGGTCACACGACCCCCAGATCTGTCGAAGAAAATATATGAAACGGTAAGTCCGTCTGTACCATATATGTATGTTTATTATAATGACCACATATTAAGACTCATTCACCCGTTTAATTCTGTCAGTATTTACCACTAAACTGTCTACCTCTTCTGCACCTCTCTTAACCCTCTTTATTGCACATATTTGCCATCATCTTCCTATCCATCCCTTGTACGACATCTAAAAGCCAATCTTCTATTTTTTATCTACACATTTCTCATCTTATACCTCATTCTGGTCACTCAGGTAAACACCAAAACAACCTTTTCCCTGCTGCTCCCTCCTGGTCACTTGTCTCCAGTTGAGTCAATAATAACAAACTACAGTAGATTACAACAACACAAAAGATTGTTGTCAGTAAGGAAATTCAACCAGACTATTGATAGATTATAGGTTGTTACAGGCAGGTGCTCCTACAACAACAACAACAATCTAACTTAAAAAAAATATTAACATTTACTTAACCAAAACTAATCTGACCTGACCTAATCTAACCTAATCTTCGTCACCATAATCATCTACAGTATATTAAATCACCAGAGAGACCCACCAAAAACATTCTATACCTGTAAACCTGGAGAGGAGAGTCTTTGGCTAGGGAGGGCAGAGTTAGCCTTGACATTGAATCTGAGAGGATTGTCTTGGTGGATGGTGATGAGAGGCTTGGCATAGGGCACGTAACGCGTCTGTCTGATCAGGAAACGACAGGTCACATGGCGAGGGTAGAGTCCGGGGAAGTTGGGACTCTGAACTGAACACCTGTACTCATCACAGTTCAGAAAGATCCGATCACACAGCGAGCCTGGTGGTGGGAAGGGGAACATAAGAGGCAGAGAAGATCGTTATTGTCACATATTGAGATTATAAACGGGGGAGAGGAAAGAGATTTACTGAGGAGTGAAGGGATGGGAATACTTGATGATGATGATGGAAGTGAGGGAATATTTTTAGGGGTGGTTAGAGAATGATAGGGAATATTTATAAAGGTAAAGAGTGAGTGATTGGTGATGGAAGGGAATATCTTGGGGGTAGGGGAGAAGGGTAGGGAATATATGGTGGCAGAGGGGGGGAAGGGAAGGAATATTTTGAGGGGTGATAAGGAAGGAAGGGAATAATTTTGGGTAGCAGGAGGGTAGAGAATATCTTGTGGGGGGGAGAGGTAATGTGCAGGTAGAGAAAAGAGAGAGTTACACAATATACTAAGGAAATATGTGTCGTTCATATCACTGACGAGAGAGTAGTAGTAGTAGTAGTCGTAGTAGTAGTAGTAGTAGTAGTAGACACGTATATAGGAATTGCAACAGAGACACAGACAAGAGGACTGTGTGGGTGAATGTCGTGGGGATGAAACAATAACAACAATATTGAAGGTTAAAATAAATTGGAGATCTCCACTATGGGATGGGGAGAACACACACACACACACACACACACACACACACACACACACACACACACACACACACACACACACACACACACACACACACACACATACACACAGACACACACACACACACACACACACAGACACACACACACACACACACACACACACACACACACACACACAGACACACACACACACACACACACACACACACACACACACACAGACACACACACACACACACACACACACACACACACACACACACACACACACACACAATGTCTATCATCATCGTGTTACCATACTCATCCTTGCAAGCCATTGAACAACGTCTCCTGAGATTATCTTAAGGGGAAAAAAATACCCAGGAATTTAAGAACGGGAAAAAAGTCGTATATTTAGTCCTCATTTTTTTATCTTTTGTTTTATCGTAAGTTTTTTTTATCGTGTAACTAAGTGGTCATTATTTTTACGATAAGACGCAGGGAGGAAGATATGAGAGATTTTACGAGCGAGATCGTGAGAGAGGGAGAGAGAAAAAAGAGAGAGAGCCCTACTACCCCATCTCTGGACCTACATCTTTAACAGCACTTAGTTATCTTTCACAGTAAATTGTCCCTTATAAGATTCAGCTGAAAACCCTCACTTCCTCCTCTTCCTCCTCCTCTTTCTTTCCGTCCCTTCTTCGCTTACACGTTTCAACTTACTCACAATCCTCCCCCTCCTCTTCTTCTTCTCCTCCCCCTCCTCTTCTCCTCTCCTCCTCTCCTCCTCCATTTCAACTTAATCTTCACGTTCACTTTTCTTGTTCTCGTTCCTGTACTTGTTTTTCTTCCTCCTCTTCTTCCTCACCTTCTTCTCTTTCTCTTCCTCCTCTTCCATTGCTTGATTTCCCCCATTCCTACCTCCTTCTCTCCTTCCCTTCCCCAATCTTCCTCTTTCCTCCTCTTCCAATCTTTGGTTCATTATCTCCTACTCTTACTTTTCCTTTCCCATTCTTCCTGCACTCTTTCTTCTCTTCCTCCTTCTCACTTTCTTTCCTGCCTCCTGCCCCCACCTTCCATCCCGGGCAGTTAAGATGACGGAAACAGTTGTAAAGTTGTACGGTCAGGGAGGAAAGTAGAGAGAGAGAGAGAGAGAGAGACACTTAATGAGTACATTGATCTACAAAGTGCTCTATATGCCGGAGGTGAAGCTGGTAGAAGTAAGACCCCAGCAGGTAGTAGAAGGCCCCAGCAGGTAGTAGTAAGACTCCAGCAGGTAGTAGTAAGACCCCAGCAGGTAGCAGAAGCCCCTAACGGTAGTAGAAGACCCCAGCAAGTAGTATTAAGACCCCAGCAGGTAGCAGCAGGGGTCCCAGGAGGAGGTTGTTTACAAAAGAGCGGCCGAAGTTCCAATAATGTTGTTTATTGACCTGTGCCCCCGCCTTCTATTTACAATTAACACCATTCTCCCCTTCTGGTGGTCGACTCTTCACTAAAATCTACAGTAATTCTCTACAGCGAACCCTCCATATAACGGACTTCTCCATATAATCCGTTAGACGGGGTTTCACATCTAATGGACACTGATTTATGGACTTTTCTCTGTATATAGTCCGTTAGATAATGGGTTCACTGTATGTAATAATACCTTTCTTTTTCTACTTTCACTAAGCCATTATACTATTACTTTTCAACAGTAACTTTCACAGTATCTTTAACTTTTTTATTTGCACTTTCTGTCTACATATTCGCAACACAAAATACTTCTCTAGTTAAACTTAGTAATCCCAAAATACTTTCCTCCTCCTCAAACTTTCGTAAGAGAGCACCTAATCTTCTCCTTACACTTCATAAATTTATATACTTTCTATTTTACTTTCGAAAAACTTTCTCCATGTGTACTCGTCCCTTCTCTCTCTCTCACACACACACACACACTACACTACACTACACTACACTACACTACACTACACTGTACACCCCAACTCTCCATTAACACTCTCTCCACTACTTTCACTCTGCGACTTTCCATTTGCATTCTTTCCCCAATTCACTATGTTGTTGTGTTCACGTTGCATCTCCTCATTTACACTCCTCATAATTCCACCTTCCCAATGGCTTCCTCCCCTCCTTTCCCCTCCCCCTTCCCCTCGTCCGACACTCCCCTCCCCTCCCAATCCTCCACCACTCCATTTCCTCTACTATGCTATTCCATTTGCACTCTTCTCCCCTCGATTCACCACCCAATTTCCACCTTCAATGTGTGTGTGTGTGTGTGTGTGTGTGTGTGTGATGTGGCTTCCCTCCCTCCTTCACACACACATCCTCACGGTTCCCCTGTAACTAACACCAGTTATTCAATCCTCGTCTACTCAGCCACACCTTTCAATTTCCTCTTTGGAGACTCTCAAATCCTCCTTCCTTCCCCTCCACAACACTAGACCTTCAAGACACCGTTTTGGCAACTCTGAAAAGACCAAGATTTTTTCCTGTATTGAAGAGCCTTTATAAAACGTGTCTCATAGATGGTCGACCACTTGTATGTGTGTCTCTTGCCATCACCAGAGGAGGTTCTAAGTCGGTGAGGGAAAGGGAGTGTAGGAGAGTTGACAGGTGATGTGAACCGGATTGATAGAGAGGTGAATGGTAGTGGGGATTGTATGTGGTGGGTATAAGATATTGGTTGTCTTAGAGGAATTTTATTTGTATGGATGTGAGAAAATATATGATTAGAAATAGATGATTTTTTTTATTGTTGAATATATATAAAAAAATAAATGTATCCTAGTTAAAGCAGCTTCAATAATAAGATACTCAACAGGTTGAAATTCTAATTACATAGGACGTAATTCTTAAAATTCTTCAATTCCCTTCATCAAAGTATTAAAACAGCCATCAGCCACAAGACACAGAGGTAAGAACACAGTTACAAGACAGAGGTAAGAACTGAGTCGAGGCGCCATACGTACTGTCAGCCAATTCGCCGCGGTTTTTAGGCGAGGAAGCGTTGCCGTAGCGAAGGATGGCGTCACTCCGTCTCAGGGTCTTGTAGGTGAGGCGGAAGTTGAAGGGCGACTGTAGTAAACCCTATGTGAGAGAGAGGGAGAGAAAGAGAGGATAAATGAGAGAGTTAATGGAGGAGAACAATTAGAATGAATGAAGGTGGATGGAACGGAAGATAAAAACTCCAGAAGACATAGAAAACGAGAACATTTAAGTAGAGGGAAGATTTTTATTTAAGGGGTAACTGGAGAATAATACAAGGGAGCGACAAACACTCACACTGACGGGAAAAAAGACATATTACAAAGGTAGGAAGATAAATGACGGTAGGGAGATAAATGATCCTGATAATTTGAAGACTATTAAGAGAATAAGTGAAAACGACCGACAAATGGACGATGATGATAAGGAGGAAAGTTGTTGGAAGAATTAAGAGGAGTCGTGAGGAAAAAGCAGACAGTAAGGAGGACGGAAGGGAGTGAAGGATGGAAAGAAGGAGCTTGAAAGATAGGGAAATAAATGATGTTAAAGAGACAAATGATGTTAAAAATTTTAGACTATTAAAGGAAAAAGTAAAAAATAAAATAAAACAGTGGTATTAAGGAGAAGGGGGAGTATGGAAGACTTTATAAAACTTTGAAAAGACTTTAAAAAAAATACAAATGGGAGCTATCAAGGAAAGACAACCAGGAAATAAATAAATAGATAAAAGACAAATAAAATCAATAAAAAAGATGAAAAATGTAGAAAAAAAACAAAAACAAATGAAGAACAACTCACTTTCAACACATAAACAAACCACCACCACCATCACCACCACCACTTCCACCACCACCACCACCACTTCCACCACCACCACCACCACCACCACCACCATCACCATCACCATCTACCATCACAACCACCACCATCCTGTCACCACAAACAATCCAATTACCTAGTTCATCTTAATCGACTCCATGTTTAACACTCTCGGTGGAAGACATTTTTAATACCCAGGTGTAAGAGAAGACTGCAGAGGGTCCAGCCCAACTTTTGTAATCTGAGACTCACCTCAAATACGCTGTATATAATCCACAAGAGGAGAAAGTTTCCCCCAGGCCAGATAGGTGAAGCTGCTGTGAGAGGCTGAATGTGTCGGAGATCCTACTGCAGAAGGTCGTGGGTGTTGTGTTGTTGGGGGAAGGTTGAGGTTCTAGGGTATTGTGTACAAGAGCTTCGACTCACAGGGCTGTATTTAAGGTGTTATGCAAAAGCTTAGTATTGTATAAAGTCTAATTTCTAGGTTGTATTTGTTTATATATTTTTTATCATAATTTTATTTGGGAACTTTATCTCGCGGCCAGTTATTGACTCTGTTGATTGAAGTGGTTTGGGATACCGCATTGTTCATTGGTAAACAAGTATTTTTTAATAATATTTAATAAGATTTTGAAATGTTTTGTTGACAATAGGATATTTTTCAGGGTTGTTATATAGAAAAATAAATAAATATCTTGGGAGTAAAAGTTTTCCTACTTGTGTATTGCTGGAGGACTCGGGGGTGAGGTGTTGATCCCGGGTGAGAGGCGACATATATTGTTGAGGCCACTAAAACCCGAAACAGATCCACCAAACGTTCACTCGGTCACGTAGCGCCCACCAGCAGGGACACCCAGCACCAGCAGGGACACCCAGCACCAGCAGGGACACCCAGCACCAGCAGCAGGGACACCCAGCACCACCAGGGACACCCAGCACCACCAGGGACACCCAGCACAAGCAGGAACACCCAGCGCCACAAGGGACACCCAACACCACCAGAAACACTCAGCACAGGTGTTGCAGTGTACATAAATTAGTCACAGGTGTAGCCAGAGAGAAAGACGCCAAGACTCACTTCAAAGTGTATGTAATCCATAGGGATGAACTTCTTCAGCGTGAGGGTAGTGGTGGAGGTCTCGCTGAAGTAAACATTGAAGCCCCGACCATCCCCACACCAGTAGCCATCCGTGTAGGGCCTCTCCCGCTCACTGATCTGCATCCACCCCTGAGGACACCCGCTGTTGTAGCTGAAGAAGTCCCCGAGTCTGAGGGAGAAAAAAAAAAGACAAAAAATAATCCAAAGTTTTAGTGAGGATCATATCTGTGGTGGTGCAGTGATTGAAGCCTGAAGGGGACGAAGAAGGGAAAGGTGGAATGAGAAACCAGTGTGAAAGTAGTAGTTAGTGAGGTTACTTTATCTGAAGGTGAAAGACAGAGTTAAGATGATATTATTGTCGTTACACCTGTTTTAAGAGTCTATTCTAAGACTCACTATAAAGCTGTTAGAAATACCCCAGCTTAAATATAACACAAATTCGAATCATATCACGATTTACCTCCGTCTACAAAGTCTAACCTCAACACTCATCCACCACAGAGCAACACAATCACCAGTCAAAACACACACACAACACACGAACCTTAAACCAGGAAGGAAGATAAACTTGTTCGAATAAACTAAAAAAAAAATCACTAACTCAGAGAAAGTAAAGAGAGAGAAAGTACACAGAGAAAGTGACTGTTAGAGGTCATGTCGAGAGTCAGTTGGGGGTAATGAGTTAAGAAGTCACTCAACCTGATGAGCAGAAGGAAAGGTAAAGTAATTTGAGCCCCTCTGAGTGTCACTTATTGTTAGAGCTCTTCAACTTGTCCTGAAGAGTTGGGAGTTGTGATTCAATTGTACTGGAAATAAAAGGAAAAAGGAAATACGGAGGATAAAGTTGCTACTCTGGAAATCTGAAACTAAGACGAAATTCCTTATTGTGTACAATAAAATAACTTCGTAAATGTAAGTGGAAAGAAAATTGTCATGAAAATGGGAAGAAGAAGAAGAAGAAGAAGAAGAAAAATAAAAGAATAGAATGAAAAAGAAGAAAGAGTTCAAGAGCTTTTTAAATGCTTATAAACGTTGACGCTGTTGAGGGCAATTAATCTAAAAGGTTAGAGAGGCAGAGTGAGGGAGGGAAGATGAGAGAAGGAGGGAAGGAGGAAGGAAGGGAGGGAGGGGGGGAGGGAGGCAGAATGAAGAAGGGAGGGTGAGGGAGGGAGAGAGGCGAGGGAGGGAGAGGCTTCTGGTGGTTTTTATTCACTTTTTACACCAATCCTGCCGAGGCTGTGTCTCCCTCCAGGCGTGGCCGACCACTCACACTCCCCACCTCGTATGAAATGGATATATGCCGCCGGAGACTGCAGGTGGAGTAGTGAGAGAAGAGGAGGAGCAAGAGGAGGAGAATATGAGGGTGTAGGGGAGATATGGAGGGAGAGAGGAGTGAAACCATGTTAGGAATAATCATGCCTTGTCGCTAATTAGTATTCACCTTTCAGAACACTTGATGATCCTCACACCTGTTACTGGCGAGGGGGAGGGTGAAAGTGCAAGGGAAGGGGAAAAGCAGAGGGGAAGGGAAGGGGAGAAGCTAGAAAGAAGTAGAAAGAGAGAAGGGGAAAGGGAGGGATGGGATAAAATGGAAATGGAATATAGAGAAATGGGGATGGTTAGAAGAGGAAAGGGAAGCGTACACAGGGGAAAAGAAGAGGATGGAAAAGGAAGATATAACTACGAGAAGTGTATTGGGTTGTCAGAGGGAAGAAGGGAGAGGGAGCCAAAGGAAGGAAAGGTGTGAGAGACGGGAGGGAGGGAGATAGAGAGGGGAGAAGAAAGGGGGTAGATAGCCTGAGGGATAAGGAAGGGTAAAAATGGTTGTGAGAGGAAGGGGAGAGCATGGCAAGTGACCAGAGGGAAGGAGGAGGAGGAGAAGGAGAGGGAGAGAGAATGTTTGATAACTGAAGAAAAATGGGAGACGGAGGGGAGGAAAAGACGAAAGTTGAGTGGAGAGAGAGAGAGGGGGAGAGTTTGTGTGTGTGTGTGTGTGTGTGTGTGTGTGTGTGTGTGTGTGTGTGTGTGTGTGTGTGTGTGTGTGTGTGTGTGTGTGTGTGTGTGTGTGTGTGTGTGTGTGTGTGTGTGTGTGTGTGTGTGTGTAGAATTAAAGCAGGTAGTGGCAAGGTTCCTGAATATATTAAGTTCAGCTTCAAGTCAGACCGAAAAAAAAAAAATCACGACACAAAGAAATTATGTAAATGAATATTAAGTGGTCGTAAAGTTAGCAGTTTTTTTTACTAATTAAATTAAATCTTATCTAGGGAACCTCTACCTCTGAGATTATATAATTAATTGAGTATTATCCTTCACAAACTCCTACAAGAAAATATTTAGTGAATGTTGATAAAAAGAAAAGATGAAGGAAATAGATGATGTATAAAATAAATATGAAAGAATGAAGACGGAAATATGAAACGGTGAACAGGAATAGAATATAAATAATAATAATAATAATAATAATAATAATAATAATAATAATAATAACAAAATAATAATAATAATAATAATAATAATAATAATAATAATAATAATATTAATGATGATATATTTATGGGTTCACATCACACACACACACACACCACACACACACACACACACACACACACACAACACACACACACACACACACACACACACACACACACACACACACACACAGTATATAACCACAATGAACCCAATATGTAAGAGGAAAATTACCAGCAACATAAATAAGAAAGCAGGTCGTTCCATGTAGCGTTTAAATGATTGAGTCTTAAACACGGCGGAGAGAGAGTGTGGAGTGATGTGGGTGTATTGTACCTAGACTGTGATGTAGGAGTGTATGTGAAGGTGTAGTGTCTGTATGTTGGTCATGTATGGTGTTGTTCAGTGCTTAGTGGGGGAGGAAGTCACGTACTAAATAACACCGGGCTAAAAATACTCTGATGGACTCCTCTTGATGTCACAGAGTTTCCTTGGCACATAATGACATCATATTTACATAATACTGTATAAATTAAGACATCAATTTCAAACCTAACCTAACCAGACTCAATTTGTAAGTCTATTAAGATGAGTCAGTTCTTTGTCCATGTTTGAGGACTAAATATCGACGGTCTATCAAAGTCAGGTCAGCAGTGTAAGGGGGGGGGAGTCATACCTTACTGATTGTGACAGGTGAGAAAAAATTATATGTTTAACTTTATACCTGTGGCCAGCCTAATAACATTCCCCAGGTGTTGATAATTAATACACCTGTGCGCTAAAACTTTAACAGATCGAAATATTATATCAACAAAAATTTTCCTAATCAGTTTACTTTTGTTGTAATGTCTCCTCGTCTTTTCTGTTTACATTATCTCCTCGTCTCTTGTCTTTACACCCTTTATCAGCATTGTTTTGAACTCGCGTGGGAGTGAGAAATGTTGCCACTAAGCCGACAGGACAGCCGTAAATAGTCCAGATAATGTATATACTGTTAAAACTCGCAGTAATTTAGAATAATGCCGTAAGTGCTGTACCGTAAACAATATAACAACTTATGGGAAGAAATAGTGTAAATGAGGCCGTGTGTCTTACCTGTCACTCTCTCCCACCCACCTGTGTGTTCTGGCCAGGTAAACAATGGGGATTTGGGGAGAGAGAGAGAGAGAGAGAGAGAGAGAGAGAGAGAGAGAGAGAGAGAGAGAGAGAGAGAGAGAGAGAGAGAGAGAGAGAGAGCGAGAGAGAGAGAGATTTAGGGTGATTAACAATTCTGGAAGAAATAGTCAGCGATACACACACACACACACACACACACACACACACACAAAACACACACACACACAAAAACACACACACACACACACACACACACACACACACACACACACACACACACACTTCTCATCTGGTTCTGTCATTTACACATTATAACGTAAATAACACAGATTTAGTTGCTAGTAAAAAAAAAAATCCTTTACCCAAAACTTATATATGAAGAATAAGGAAAATCTTTATGTAAAATTTGCATACGTCATCACCACCGCGTCTTACTACTGTCCTCACTCAACCATGAAATGACACGGGTTCGGTGCCTGCTGACTGTCTCCCCGACACGAGGGTAACCCGATCCGCGCTTCCGCCTTGGGGCTTAATCGCCCGCGCCTTGCGGGCCCTTAAAAACAAACCTAGCAAGTCTACGGACTTGGCGCCCCATTCAACCACTTGGGTGAAGCCGGGGATTATTACCATACGTGGAGGGTGTTGGTAGGGGAGTGGGGTGGGGGAAGAAGGGGTGGTAGTGAGGTAGAGGGTGGTTAGGGTGGAGGAAGGTGGTAGAGAGTGGTGGTAATGATTAGTTCTGATTTAGTCTTAGTATGTCTGTTTGCCTGTTAGTCTGATTCTTTGTTTTCTCTATCTGTTTATCCTATATTCGATTTACTGTATTTTCTCTTTATCTATCTCTTTATCTATTTATTTATTTATGCATCTTAATTATTATCTCATTTTCCTTATATTTAATCATCAATAATTTCCTATCTATCTTCATTTCTCAACCTATTCATTTCATGACGTGTGTTTTTATATAATCAACCTAACCTAACCTAACCTAACAACTACTAATTACTGTACCTACAAATTAACTCAACTAACTTCCCAATCCCTACCAAAAAAAAAAAAACGGTTCCTAATTGCCTATTTAATTATTCAACAACTACTTAATAAGCAGAGTTAATACATAATTAACTCGGCTTGATGTTAAATTAACCAGATTATTTAGTTCAGTTATGGTTAATGATCGTTCGGAGGCAATAATGGTTAACTTGTGTAATACAGACGAATTGTATAGAAAAGCTTTGAAATATTGTTGAGTAAATGTATAGTGAGGGTATAGTGTTGTGTGGTCTGGTGATGATGATGATGATGATGATGATGATGATGAGTGATGATGATGATGATGATGATGATGATGATGATGATGATGATGATGATGATAGTGATGATGATGATGATAGTGATGATGATGATGATGATGATGATGATGATGATGATGATGATAGTGATGATGATAGTGATGATGATGATGATGATGATGATGATGATGATGATGATGATGATGATGATGATGATGATGATGATGATGATGATGATGATAGTGATGATGATGATGTTGTTTTGGTGAACGTGTTACAACAGGAAACA